GGTTTTCACTTAATCAGCTCCCTCTGCTGCAGCCCAGCTGACTGCCATATTAACTTCCATCTGCCCTGACTACCCAACCCCTCTCTAGCCTGGTTAGAGTTTCTTCCTGCACATTGTTCCCGTCTAGCAAGCCATATCTTTACTGGCACATCTCTATACTGTACCTTTACTAAGCATCTCCATCCCAGTCCCATACCCAGCCAGGTTTTGTGAGGTCAGGGGTCAGGACCTGATTTTCCCCCTGTGATGTATCTAGTATTTGAACACCGAGGGCAGGATAGCCCTGTTCTGTAGATGATTCACGACATAATTCTCTACTTCCCGGGCAGGCCCAGTCACCGCGGCCCACACACACCAGAATCAAACCTTCCGCCTGTGAGAGCCATTATCACTGGGTCTCTGTTTAAAGAGGTAAACAAAACACTGATGACCTCTGTTATAAAACATGCACTGGGGAGAAGAGGGTGCGTTCTTGATACTCAGACAAGAGAGCCTTTTGAGGAAATGGAAAGGGAAACTCTCTATATTTCTTGTAAGTCGGTGCTCACACTACTGTAGACTGCAAATTCCCTGGGGACTCAGGGGCTCAGTGTGGAAAGGCAATATGATGACTAGCATAGTGATGGTGTTGTTTTTTGCTGCCTTAAGAATAAAAATAAACATTGTCTACATCCGATCTGCTCATGGTTTTCTAGAGTCTCTAGCAACCCAGCCACCTTGTTTCTTCCCACGCAGCTCTGTCCCCTTGTCAGAGCATCTCATGTTCGTAGCCTGAGCACACAGACTGTAAGGAGACCTGAAACTACAAAGGTGAGAGGTTGCATCATTTTTTTTCTTCCCTGTAACATTTGTTTCCTGTGACCGAAAAGAGGAAGTTTATAAACATGTGGGGCTGGTCTGTTGTGTGCTGAGTGGTTGACTTTGTCACTTTGGTAAAATATATATATTTTATATAATACATACAACCTGAAGAGAAAGCAGAGTATATATCCGTTTAGGTGGCGGTCATAAAAACACCTTAGACTGGGTGGCTGAAACAGGCTACGTTCCTTTCAGTTTTAGAGGCTGAAAGTCCAAGAACTTGTCGATCATTTCATTCTCCTTGTGCCGTACAGGTAGTTGTCTTCATTCTCCGTGCCCTTCCGGCAAGGAGAGGGAAAAGACCGTTTTCTCTTCCTCTGTATGAATTAGGCCACAGAGCTCATGAGGAGGATCCCACCCCGAGACTTCTTCTAACCCTAACTGCTTCCCAAATGCCTCATCTCCAAACACCGTCTAGAGGTTTGGGAGCTTCGTACTTTTTACTTCATACCTTCAGCCCATAACAGTGATTTGGAACAGCAGTAACTGGGCTGGAGAGATGCCTCGGTACGGAGAGCCCTTGGCGCTTTACCTAAGTATGAGGATGTGAGTTCAAATTCCTAGAGTTCGAATTCCCAAGTGAAGCCAAATGTAGTAGCATGTGTCTGTACGCCCAGCACATCTATGTTAGGATGGCAGCAGAGACAGGAGAATTTCTACAAGCGTGGAGGCCAGCTAGCCTGGGGTACACCAATGTGAACAATAACAACAATAACAAACCCTGTCAAAGAACGTGGATGGTAAAGACCAACACCCTGGCCTGTCCTCTGGCCTACACATACACACATACACACATACACACCATACACACATACACATACATACACACATACACACATACACACCATACACACATACACACATACACACCATACACACATACACACATACACACCATACACACATACACACCATACACACATACACACATACACACCATACACACCATACACACATACACACCATACACACCATACACACATACACACATACACACCATACACACATACACACACACATACACACATACACACCATACCACATACACACCATACACACATACACACCATACACACCATACACACAGATGCCTGCACTCATGTGATTGTGCATAACACACCCACCGTAAGAAAGGCAGTGGTGACTTTGACCCCCAGGCTGCCATTGTCCAGCTGTTTCCCCTGAATTGAAAGAAGGAGGAAGACGTGAAAGATTCAGAAAGCTGTGAGATTCAGGAGCCTTCTCCTGTGGCCATATAAACAGTAAAAATTTCCTGGGAGAGAGAGACCCTTCTGTGGAACTGCCAGCTTTTGTGAGCCGTCACCAAGGCTGGGATGGGATTTTTTTTTTTAATCCAGCTACCTCTGAGACATCCATAATCCTGTAAGTAGCCCCTCATCTATGCTTTGGTATTTAACCCCAATAAACCTCATGAATCCACCAAGCTAGACTTGAGTGGGATTGTTTCTTAGATCTATCGTCTTTGCCCTATCTGGGGTGGATAGGCATTTGTTCCTGTCTCCCCAGAAAAAGTCACCCAACAGCTGCTAAGGAGAGGGACTGAGGAAATCCTCACACATCTGAACGGTGACCATGACCAGTCCCACCTACCTCAATTTACACATTGGCCATTCCAGAAAGACTACCCTCTAAGACCTCACCAACTTGGATGGCCATCCTGACATTTCTGTTTACTATGTGAGCAAATGATGGCATCCTAGCAACGCTTTCTGAGTATCAGTTGCCTCCTCTACATGATGGGAATGACGGCATCTTCCGGCATAGTCGTGGGCATCTATGGATATCACACACAAAGGCTCTGGGCACTAGAAAAATGGAGATTGGAAAGTGGTAGCTTTATAACTTTTGCCCTGCCATCTATGCTGTTTGTCCATGTTCTTAACATGTACAGGTACCTCTGCATGGCAGGGCCAACCACACCTTGCTTAACACAGTAACTAATATGAGCTGCATGCCCAGTGAAATATCTGTGATGGTGACAACCCAGTGAAATTTTTTTTCTCAATGTCTGTCCAAATATCTCAGAGAATTGAAATAAAGAATGAAGTATGTGTGTGTGTGTCCACCTCAGTTTGGACAAGGCCTTGTTTTATTTTAGCTTTGAATACAAGATCAGCTGTCCCAAAAGCCTCTGGGGATTCCCCTGTCTCCACCTCCCATCTCCTGGTAGCAGTGTTGGGATTACAGACATTTGCCCTACATATCTGGCTCACATGTGAAATCTGGGAATTGAACCCAAATTCTCACACTCGTACACTAAGCACTTTGACCCACTGGGCCATCTCCCCAGCTTGTCCTTTCCACGTTTTTAAAGGTGCCCTTCCTTAAAACATACCCTGGATTTGTGTGTTGTTTCTAGACGATTTCTGGTAGACTCTTTGGCATTTCTCATATATGTAAACAAGGATTGTTTAACTCTTTCCTCTCTGGAGCCCTTGATTTCCTTCACTTGCCTCACTGCTCCAGCTAATGCTTTGAGCACAATATGGAGGAGGTGTGGGGAGAGTGAACAGCCCAGGCTCATTCCTGACTTCAAGCTCTTCTCCATTTAGGATGATGTTAGCTGTGGGTTTCTCATATATACCTTTTATTGTGTTGAGGTATGTCCCCTGTAGTCCCATCATGCAGGCATGTTGGATTTTGTCAAAGACTGTTTCTGCCTCTGTTGAGATAACCATGTGATTTTTGTCTCTAAGTCCAGTTATGTGGTTTATGACAGTTATTGACTTACATATGTTGAACCATCTCTGCATTTCGGGGATGAAGCCAACTTGGTCATGGTGGATGATCTTTTGGATGTGTCAGTACTCTGTTTGCAGACATTTTACTGAGCATTTTTTGAGTTTACATTCATCGGGGATAGTGGTGTCGTTTCCTTTTGTTGTTTCTTTACCTGGCTTTGGTATTAGAGTGGTATTAGAAGGATTTTCAGAGTAGTCCTTCTGTCACCAACATGACTACCTAAGGATGAGCTGAACAAGATTGACACCAGTGGGCCTGCTAACTAAAAGGGGGAGAACTCATGAGGTCTCAACCCTATAAAAAGATCTACAAGCAACTAGGCAATGCAGAGTGCAGGAGAAAGAGTCTTCTCCAGGGAAGGGCACACAGTTGGTTATCCCACACCAAACGGTCAGCCCTGAAAACACGTACAGAAAAGTAACATTCTACAGACTGAGCAGGGTGCATTTATTTAATTATACATGTATGTATGTATGTATGTATGTATGTATGTGTGCATGTATTAATGAAAATAAAGAGGTCATGATTTGAGAGCAAGGAGGGGTATATGGAAGGGTTTGAAGGGAGGAAAGGGAAGAGGGAATGATGTAGCTATAATCTCAAAAAAAATTATCATTTAGAAAGATTTCTTCCTGTGACGCTGGCAGTGTGGGGCATTCTGTGAGAGCGGTATGATCTCTGCCCTGTGTCACTTCCCCTGCAGGTGAGGTCTCCTACCTGTACAGGGGCCTGTTCTTAGCAGGATGTCTCTCCTATCTGTAGAGGGGCCTGTTCTTAGCAGAATGTCTCTCCTACCTGTACAGGGGTCTGTTCTTAGCAGGATGTTTTACCAACACAAAACATCCCAGTTTTATCTAAAGAATATTTAAAATTCTACTGTTCTAAGAGCATTTTTATATTAAGCATAAAAGGTAATTACTAAAAGGATAATATTTCTCTTAGGAAAATGAAATCCACTCCATTTTCAGAAGAGCCAGGGGATGACTTTGGGCATGTGTGTCTTTTCATCTCTCCATGTATAGTTCTTATGTACGGTATCTTTTTAGCCTCTTCTCTTGTAGTATACAGGATAGAAAAGAAAGTTTTTTTCCTAACATACTCAAGAGGTGAGGATTAGATATTTCACCCACTCAATTTATTAAAAGCCTACAAGCTGAAAACTCATACATAAAATGGTTTCACACAACAAAATTAATAATAGGGTCACACACACACACACACACACACACACACACACACACACACACATATATATATATATATATATATATATATATATATATATATATATATTGTTTTTTAAAGTACCCAGGAATTGCTTGATTCATCTGTTCTATTGTAGACCTCACAGGTCATTCACAGAAAGTCCAACTTAATGAAATGATTCAATTTTGTATTGGGTATGCTTCACACATGGACATTTTGATTGACATATTCAAGTCAGATAACAAAGCTCAATTTTAAAACCTAAAGCAATAACTCTGCTTAAAAACCTTCTTTTAAGCCATGAATTTGTCTCTTCCAGTGGACCGTAACTCCTTGCAGTGACAGCCATCTAGTCATTTCCAGATACATCCTTTTTGAAAAGAATCTAAGATACTATTTAATTCCCATTCCAAAATTTCATCTTAGCCACCACAATGATAGGTGGAAAGAACACTAGATGTCACACCAGAAAATCTGTCCAAACCAAGACAGTCCAAATCTAATGCTATATGCCCAGAGTACATAAAAATATTTCTAGCCTTAGTTTCCTCATTATCAAAATAAAGATCATAGTGTTTGCCTTACAGTACTGTTTTCAAAACAAAATTAGATTTAAAAATATGTAGGTGTAATATATAAAGTCCATAAATTTATTGTCGTCATCATCATTATCATCATCATCATCATCATCATCATCCATGTACAAGGGTGGTCCGTTGATTACTCAGTGAAGATTTATCAAGCATTACTAGGCAGTAAAGATACAAAGGCCTTAGGGAGCTTTGATTCAGGGGCGGGGGGACAAAAGGACAATTGGGATGAAGCACACACTGAGGTGACAATGTGTCAGGGAGATGGTAGAGCACCACAAACAGAGCATGTGCACCATGAGCATGGGAAGCGAGGGAAGATGAGGACTCCTGCGTGGACACCAGAAGGAACCACTTCATTTCAGATCCAGCATCAAGAAAATACATCCAAGTCATTCTTCTGGGAGGTGTTCCATGTACTTACAGCCCTAGGCCCAAGGCCAGCTCAAACGTGTCCCAATCCCTTCAGACAGTCTTTGTCAACCTCAGCACCACTGATATTTAGTCTGCACAGTGTGGTGTCGTGAGAGGGCTGCTTCATGCATCACAGAATGTTTGATGGCATCCCTGGTTCATACTTACTCAATGCCTGTCGTGCCATTCCCCCAGCTACAACATTAACAAATGATTCCAAGTGAGAACTATGACCTTGAGGTCATGGAGAAACCAGTACTAGTGCTTACAGAAAAAAATGGGCTTCATTTAGCTAGGTACCAAATACTGAATGATAACGAAGCCTCCTGGAGCCCTTTGGCAAATTCCTTCTGAGTTTCATCCAGAAGAGATGTTGATTGTTTTTAAAGCCCCCAGGTGAGATGCAACAATAATGTAGCATCTTTTTAGACACTGCTCTGACAGGTTGTATGATCTTGGGCAAGTCATTCAGACTCTCCAAGCCTTGGTTCTTAAATGGAGATAATAAATTCTGTTTTGCAAGATCGTTGGAAGAATTAAATGAGATAAACATAAAACACACAGGCATGGGGTCTTGATACTCATTCCTTTGGTGCAATTAATATAATAGGAATCACTCTGGTGATATGATTCAGGTGGGTAGAGGTGCTTGCCATGAAAGCCTCCCAACATGAATTTGATCCCCAAAACCCATATAATGGTAGAAGAAGAGAATCAGCTCCACAAAGTTGTACTCAGACTTCCACATGTGGCATGTGTGCCCCCCCCTCTCTCTACACACACATACACACACACACACACACACACACACACACACACACACACACACACACACACACACACACGTTTTTTTTTAAAAAGTGAAATCTTAGCAGAAGGTTCTCCCAATTCTATCCACCAAAATGGAGTAGTACAGTTTTGTAGTACACTGCTTTTGTGATTGTGTGGAACAGTGTATCAGAAACTGACATGCTGGCTAGCTAACTCAGCCCTCACAAACAACCAGATTACCAAAGAGATCACAGATATGCAACTTGCCAAGAACTATACAGATTAAAAATCGGTTCCTTGAGCTTGCAAGCCTCAGCTCTGTAGGTCCGCTGGTCCCGCTGCCTCAGGCACACTGAGGCTTGATGGAGCCTGAGGAAAATGTTTTCTGTATTCTGTGTTCCGTAGTTTCTTGTAGACATAGATTATGAGATCTGGAAATGTCTCCTGAAAATAACAAGAAGGTTCTCCAATTCTCTCCTTCATTCTGAAAGGAAAGACAAACAGTGAGCCGACCAGCCCCAAGCTCTTCCCCCTTCTTAGACTACGCCCTGGCAGCTCGCTGTACTTGATTTTATAGCGGGAACTGTAAGGACTTTGGAATCTGATGAATAAGACGCTTCCTGACTCTTGAATAACTGTGCAACTTAATCTTTCTGAACTTGTTTGTTCATTCATAAAAATGGTAGTAACACAGAGGGGTGGGGAATCTCACAAGACCCTACCCCTAGAAAAATAGCTGTTACAGGCAGTTAATGGGTGCTGAGAGAGGGAAATCAGTCTTTTCCAGGAAGAGACCCCTCTGAGAGGTTCCAATCCCAAGAGAGAAAAGAAGCACTAAATGAAACCACACAGGAGCAACATTTAGTGGACTCAGTATTTATCTATACATATGTATATGTGAAGCAGCAATTAAAGACAGGCTGGGAATTAGAGAGGGAGTTGACGGGAACACAGGAAGAGTTGGAAGGGAGAGGGAAGGGTGGAAATGATGTACATACAGTATTTATGTATGAAATTCTAAAGACGAAAAGTAATTAAGCAAAATGGTAATACAATTCCACAACTCCTTATACACAATCCTGAACTGTAAGGTGTGTGTGTTGGGGGGGGGGGGGGGTATGTGTGTGTTTGAAGCTAACATTTTTGATAACAAAGGATGATTTAACTAATATGGGGATTGCTCAACTTTTGTAACTCTGCGTTGCTTCATACGGTGGTCCTATCTTCTATACTATTCACATAGAAAGCTACTTCTGTTCAGTAGAACTCAGCAAAGCTGAAAAGGAGGCTGAGAGCCTGTGGACTCAGTGAGATCCCTTTTTAAAACAGAAAATAACTGCTTTTGCTTTTCCTCTTCCTTCTCCTCTTCTCCCTCCTCCTCTTCCTCCTCCTCCTCCTCCCCCTCCCCCTCTTCCTCTCTCCTCTTTCTCCTCCTCCTTCCCTGACAGGGTCTCACTGTGCAGTTCTGGCTGGCCTGGATCTTGCTGTGTAGACCAGACTGACCTCGCAGAGATCCATCTACCTCTGCCTCCTGAGTTGTGGAATTCAAGACATGAGCCACCCCACCCTCAACTTGCTTTTCTTTATCAAAGTAAGTTTTCTAATTGGACTTTCTAATTGCTCTCACTCCATGGATGACTCACGAGAATGAAAGCTACACTTACTGCTTATTTTTATCCTCATCGATGTGTTCTCCTATATTCCGAATGAACTTTAGTAAGTCACCCACAGTGTCCTGATAAGGTTTTCTGTTGTTTATTGTATAGAAAGAGTCCATTTTTCCCATAACATCTTCGTCGATCTAAAAAACGAAACATTACCCCCAAGATATGATAACAGTATGGAACAAATCCTTATGCTGTATTAATATCAGAAGGCCAAATACAAATTTGAATAAATGCCCTTTACCAATGAACAAAACAAATAAACAGAAATAAATGAAAGCGCATGATACACACCACACACTATCCTACACGGGGCAGTTGTGTAGTGTCTGAATGAGGCACTATAAGTGACTGATTTCCTTTTTGTCCGCACTTGCCAGTTTCCAAGAAATTACGCCTATTGAAATCCTTTGTGGGAGTGCTCACTAGTCTAGCCACTATGAAAATCAGTATTGAGGTTCCTCAAAAAACTAAAACTACGTCTACCAAAAGAACGGCTACAACTCTGCTGAGTATTTAGCCAAAGGACTCTCAGTGAGCATATCACAGAGATATTGCAGAACTGCTCATAGTAGCCAAGATGTGGAGCCAACCTAGGTGTCCCTCAATAGCAGAACGGTTAAGGAAAATGTGGTTTATGTACACAATGGAATTTTTCTTCAACCAAAGAAAGAACAAAATTATGTCATTTGCATGAAAATTGATACAAATGGAGATAGTCATAGTAAGCAAATTAAGTCACTCCCAGATAAATAACATGGGATTTTGCTTAGATACATAAATCCTTATATGTATATCTGACATGAAAATAGAAGCCAAACTGTTTAGAGCAACAGGGACTAAGAAAAAGGGGAGGGTTATGAGGGGAGGGTAGAAAGGCATGGGGGAATGTGCTCAAGGTGTATCATATGCTTATATAAAAATGTTTCTACTTTCAAGTTTGTCCAGGTCTAAAAATATCAAGTTTGAGCTGAAGTATCATACACATGCATTCAGTAAAGAGTCATGGCACACGTACTCCATACTAAGAACTAGCAGGACAGCGGCTGTCTCTGCCCCCACAAAACTTGCAGACTAGCAATGAACACACATATAAAGCAAGCAAATACAAGCAGAGATGAGTGAAGGAAAGAAAACAAGCTGAAAAGCTGAAACAAAGACGGAGAGAGGAACAGGGGCCTGAAGTGGAGAAGCTGCTGGTCTCAAAGACCTGAAGACCACAGATTCTCCCAGAGTGCTTTGTACATGTCCCGCACCACACAGCATCATCTCTGCCTCACAGGAAACATGCTTTATTCTGCTTTATGGTGCCCAGACCTTGATGCTGGCTTAAAACATAATTGGATTTGAGAAATGTTTGTAAATTTACAATAATGAAAGTTTTGTGATAAAGACAAGATTGAGATGGTGATTAATTTTATAGAGTTCCCCTAAATTCAAGTTTGGCAGAATTTGTTTTGAAGAGAAAGAATTTGAAAGGTTATCTTTTTTCATAATATGTTTTCTCAACACAATGTGGGTCCTCGGAGCTGATGCTGCACACAGGCAGAGGGGTGTCCAGTCTGTCCAGGCTATGGGTGCCTGTCTGTCCTCATGGGTAGAAAGCCTCTTTGGCTTAGGCTCTACTTAGTCAGTTGTTCTTGTCATAACAGGACTTGTGGGTATGGACAATGGGCTGGGTTAAGGCCATCCTAGGGCAGAACTTAATGATCTCATTCACTGCCTGGCAGCAACAGCCTGGTATATAAAATAAGTAAAAAAAAAAAGCAGTATAAACTGTTACACATACTCTTCTTCCTAGGCCACAGAAAGTGTTCATACCTTAGATCTCCACTGATAGAAACTTCTGGAAGGTTCAGGTGTCTGAGACTGCAGTTGTTTGAGAAGCTCACTTGCATATTTTGGTTTTTTTATGTCAGATTCATTCCCCACATTCCGAAGTGTTCTGTAGCGACTGAGAATGATAGAAATATCATGGTCATTCCATTTTTCCAAAAAGAGAAGACTGATATGTTTTGATTTTTAATAAAATTTCTGCATAATGGGAGAGGCCACCCAGTTGCTTCCCACCATTCTTCAGTACTTAAAACCAGAATAGGTTGTTGCCCCTCCCATGGCCTACATGCCAAGGTGAGAGGAAAGCCTGGGCCTGCTGCTTCCCAGCCCTGGCAGCTGCCCATACCACTTGTCCCTCTCCATCTGAAAGCCTGTGACACAATGGTTCCCAACCTGTGGGTCACAATCCCTTTGGGGGTCAAATGACCCTTTCACAGGGGCCGCATATCAGTCATCCTGCATAGCAAATATTTACATTACGATTCATAACAGTAGCAAAGTTACAGTTATGAAGTAGCAATGCAATAATTTTATGGTTGGGGATCATCACACCATGAAGAACTGTATTAAAGGCTCACAGCATTAGAAAGGTTGAGAACCACTGCTGTAACACATACCCGGGTTCTACTTACTTCTCCCAAGTCCAAAAGAAAGGATGGCCGAGCAGGTCCTCCAGACAGTTCATTACATTCTTTTCAGGATAAAACAGGCAATAAATGAGGTCCTTAGTCACCGCGTCTGAAGACTTTTTAATCACCTTTTTATTATTTTGAGCCTTCAGTGTCTCAAAAGGGATCTCACCTTTCTTTATCACATAGAGGACCAGCCGTCCAAGGGCCTGCACAGAAGCCATAAGTCAAGCCAAAATTACAAAATAAAAATTACCTCTTTATTTGAGTAACCTTGAAAGATTTGATTGTTAGTATCGTTATTGTCAACTTCGTTGGTCAGATACCTGCCTCGAAGATTAGTAAAGGGCATCTCTGAGTGTGTCTGTGACGGCATTTACAGAGGAGATTATGATCATGAGGGCTCTGGCCTAATCCACTGATGGATTCAGATTTCCATTAGACTTATGTGGAAGTAGCAGGACATTCGAAGATGGGACCTGTTTGGAAGAAGTGGTCCAGTAGGGGATTGTCTTGGTGGCTATACCTTGACCTGGTCCCTTCCAGTTAGGGTTCAGCTTTGCTTCCTGTCCATGATGAGCTGCTCTATGAACCCTCACTTCCAGCCTAAACAAAACATTCTTCCTTCAGGTTTTCACAGTGACACATAAGTAGTCAGTCCAGACAGTGTGGAAATGGAAGATGGGAGGGGTTTGTAGGGACCTGGGGGCTAGATTCCTGTGGCCCCCATGGTGTCATGTTAACACTCTGGACTCCAAATCTTCAGGATTCTAGGTGAGAAAGGCAAAGCTCTGTACACAAAGAGCTCTTCAAGGCCACACATGCCCACACAGTTTAGGCTCCCAGAAGAGCCCGGTCCAGAGTTGATGGGATAGACTTGTTGGCAGCAGGATTCCACCTGGGTCTTGAATGTTCTGACAGAATGTAGATAAGACAAGAAAGGGAGGATAGACAGGGACACTTGCTCAACTATGTTCACAGCAGCGTTATTCATAATAGCCAGAACCTCGAGACAACCTAGATGTCCCTCAACCGAAGAATGGATAAAGAAAATGTGGTACATATACACAGTGGAGTATTACTCAGTGGTAATAAAAAAAAACAATGGCATTATGAAATTTGCAGACAAATAGATGGAACTAGAAAAAATCATCCTGAGTGAGGTAACCCAGACCCAGAAAGACAAACATGGTATGTACTCACTTATAAGTGGATATTGGCTGTAAAGCAAAGGATAACTAGGCTTCAATCCACAGCCCTAGAGAAACTAGGTAACAAGGAGGATCCTAAGAAGGATGCATGGATGGCCCTGGGAAGGGGAAATAGATGAGATCTCCTGGGTAAACAAGGGACAGTGGGGTATAGGGGAGGGTATAGGGAATGGGAACACGAGGGATCAGGATGGTTGAGTTGGGAGAGGGATGGAGAAGGAGGACGACAAGGTAGATATCTTGATAGAGGGACCAGTATGGAGTTGGGGAGAAGCCTGGTGCCAGGGAGGCTCCTGGGGTCCACAGGGATGACCCCAACTAGGACTCCTGGCAGTGGTGGAGAAGATGCCTGAACTTGCCTTCTCCTGTGATCCGATTGGTGACTACCCTAATTGTTATCATAGAACCTTTGTCCAGTGACTGATGGAAGCAGATGCGGAGGTCCACAGCCAGGGACTTGGCCGAGCTCCAGGATTCCAAATGAAGACAAGGAAGAGGGATTATATAAGCAAGAGAGGGGTCAAGATCATGACAGGGAAACCCATAGAGACAGCTGACCCAAGCTCATGGGAGCTCATGGACTCTAGACTGACAGCTAGGGAGCCTGCATGGGACCAACCTGGGCCCTCTGCATGTAGGTGACAATGGTGTAACTTGACCTGTTTGTGGGGGCCCTAGCAGTGGGACCAGAATCATGAGCTGGCTTTTTGGAACCTATTCTCTATGGTGGGATGCCTCACTCAGCCTTGATGCAGGGGGAGGAGCCTGGTCCTGCCTCAACTTGATATACCATGCTTTGTTGACTCCCATGGGAGGCCTTACCCTTTCTGAGGAGTGGATGGTTGGGGGGGTGTAAGAAAGGAGGTGGAGGGAGGAAATGGGAGGAGAAGAGGGAGGGGAAACTGTAGTTGGTATGTAAAATAAATTAAAAACAAAAACATAAATAAATAAAGGGAGGATGCTTTGAACAAAGGGGACACCTTAGAACAAACTAGGAACTGGATCCAGTACTATGTGAGGAGGCAGATAATAGAGTCATTTCCAGTCCAGGTTGGGACACAGTGCTAGCCTGGGGAACCAGGCTTTGGCCGGGCAGAGAAGTGGTCAGCACAAGAGACAGTTACACTAGATATGAGGGGGGCAGAATTGAAGTCAGGAGCCACCAAACCAGAACCAAAACTATTGCCCATTGCCTACGATCCAGGAGAGAACTGACCAGCCATGTCTAAACAAGCCAGGCACCCTCAGTACACAGGGCCTGGCTCCGTGTCCTCTCAGGAGCTGTTTTACAGTCTTGAGGCTTCTGCTGAGCTCTGTCTCCTTGGAGCTGAAGGCTGACCCCACCTCACTTCCACCCCAAGAATTCTTAGAGCCTCTGTATCTGGCTTTCTTTGGTGATCAGCAGGCAAGTTTGAATAGAGTTGGGAGGAAATCTCATTTGCTTTATCCTTAAGCAGAAAAATATTTGCAGAAGGAATCTTTGAGGTATTCAGAAATGCCTCCTGGAAGTCTTTGAAGAAGCGGCATTCTCCATTTAGTTACTTATTTAGCTAAGGGAGGCAGAAGGGAAGAGTTAGAGATAAGGAAAGAGACCACAGCCAAAGGCAACTCCACACCAGCTCAGCGATTCCACCTTCTCCTCTGCCCGGTGAGAGACACACGGAAATGCCACCGTGTGCAAGGTGGGAGGAAGCCTTGGCAAGTCTTTCCTCCCAGGTTAAAATAAGAAGTTCTCTACCTGGCCACAGGAAGTGGGAGAATGAACAAATAAGGAAGCAGAGAAAATTAAAAAGCTAACTAGGACACAGAAATTACCTCCAAGTCTTTCTTGACCGTCTGTGGATCTTCCTTCCACTGGATACTCTGATCAAAATCTGCCAGGCGAACAGCTTTCTTGGAGTCTAAGGGACAGTTCCAGAGGTGCATAAAAAAAATATTCTCCGTGGCGTGATAGTCAAATCATTTAAATAACTAGGTAACACGTTATACAATCTACCATCCCTGAAGATCAGCAGTACTATTTACTCATGTCTAGCTTCATTTGATCTAGTAGGTGTCTGTCAAGAGCAGGACACACATTTTATTTTTTACAGGGCAGACAGTAGGAGAAGACGAAGGTGAAGCTGACCAGTTGTCCACTCACACAGATCCTGGGGCATAGCACAGGAAAGGGGCTGCTGGCTATAGTTAAGGCTGCATCCTACGGCTAACAGTTGAGCAGCAAGGCTCTGAGTCTAAGAATGTCTTGACATCACTTTCTATCCAGTTAACCCCACCAGCCCCAAGCTCCTCTGGTACTTTAGACCACCATCATGGGTCAGAAATGTGCTGGTTCAGATTCATGGTTCCCTGCCCCCCTCAGGCTCTTCTTCCTTCTAGAAGAAGCCACTGAGTCCCCGGAAAGAGGAATGAAAGAATGATAGAAGTTGGGAGTGAGAGCTAAAGGTGAGTAAGTCAGAGATTTAGCCCTCAAGAGGTGACCTCTGCTATCCCCCATGAGTATCAGAAATAAATCTCCGTTCTTTACAAATCTCTTAGTCTGTGATGTTCAATCACAGCCACACATAAAAGACTACCACAAAGGCCTCACCTATTAAGATGTTTTGTGGCTGTAGATCCTGATGGGTGTATCCATGCAAGTGTAGTTTTTTAACAGCCTCAAAAATAGACAACAGGACATTGCGGGCAAACTTATCTTCCCCATTCTCCACGGGTTCCTTTCTGTGCCCTTCCAGGAACTCTTCCAATGTCCAATCACACAGGGACATACACACATATGAACAGCCCTTGCTGGTCTCACGTCCATAGAAAGTCACGAAGTTACTGTGTCCAAGGCAGCCCTGCAGACAGGAAACCTCCTTATGTGCACGTGTGCTGTCCTCACGGAAGACCTTCACAGCCGCCTCTCGATTGTCATAGAACCCCAGATAGATGCCCCCTTCAGAAGTGCTAGAAATTTTAAATTCGTTGTCCATAAAGATCTTGAGTTTGCCAATCATGGGTCGAGACATACGGTGAAGTCTTTTCAAGGCTTCCTCCCAGCGTGAACTATGAGGCAACCTGTCTACAGCAGAAGGGCCGGTTTGATCATTAGCTCCATAACGGAGAAGAAGGTCTACAAGGGAAGGATCATAATTCCTCCTGGCTATCCCAACAAGATCCCCACACTTGGTATTGGCTCCCTTAGCACATAACAACTCGACGATTTCTTTCAGTTTGAGTTCAACAGCGATTAGCAGGGCTGTCTTGCCCTGGCTATCTCTATCATCGATGTTTATTCCCTCCTGATCCAGGATCATCTGCACCAAACCTGTGTGTTTCCTTTCCACTGCGGAGATCAGGGGTGTCTTCCCCCCCTCTCCTCTCACGTTAACGTCAGCCCCGTGGTGGAGCAGAAGGCGAGTAATCTCCTCCACATTTTCACTATCGGAGTTCAGCAGAGTACGGATCAAGGCATTTCTGCCCATATTGTCCCGGGCATCGACTTCCGCCCTCATGTCCTTGAGGAGAATACTCAGGACTTCTGTGTGGCCATTTTCAGCAGCACTCATAAGAGCTGTGGCCCCTCCTTGCCTCAGTCGCCTTCTGTCTTCCGTGGTCTCCCGTCTCAAATTCACATTGGCTCCTTTACCAAAAAGGAATCTTAAGGCTTCGACTTTACCATACTCGGCAGCTTCCATGAAAGCCGTGAAGCCGTTCAAGTCGTGCTCATCGACGTCTGCTCCTCTAGAGAGGAAAATCTCGAGCAGTCTCACGTCTCCATGGATCCCAGCGATGATGAAGGGAGTGGCCCCATTCTTCTTCCTTCGACGGGGGTCAGCACCATGACGAAGCAGGAGCTCGACAATGTCTACCCTGCCAAACTGCACTGCATTGTGCAAAGGTGTCCAGCCCCCCATGTCTTCACAGATATTGACATCAGCCCCTCTTTCCAGCAATTGCTGGATCCTGTCAACATTCCCCTCTTTAACAGCTTCAATCAACGAAAGACTGTCTTCACTAATGGTCCTCTGATTACTTGAGGATGTGGATCCATCCTGGGGGGTGTCATGATCCGTGATCTCCATGATAGTCGATTCCAATGTTGAACGTTTTCAGCTTTTTCCTTGAGAAATGAACACTTGTTTCTTTGGGACGTGATGAAAGTCTTGGGGTAGGAATTGGGTTTATGTGTTCTGTCTTCTGATGTCTCCTTTATAGGCAAGTGAAGAGGTGGCTTTGTCATTTCAGTCAGGGAAAATTCAGCTGACTCAGAACTCAGCTTTACCCATATAGGAAGCCTTTTCTTAAACTCATTTACTTGCTTAGTTAGGAATTTCTACATTGTAGACTATTGTGAATATATGTAAATTTAAAACGAGAAAATTATTACTCCATAGTTCCACGCCCCCAAAGCAACTGCTACCAATATTTAGTATATGTGTATAGTGTTAAGTTTCAAACCCAGGACAAATAACTGAGGTGCCTACTTAACAGATCAAAGTAGACCTGGCAGCCAGGTTCTCCCAGCATCCCTCAGTCACTACCTGTTACAGGGTTTGGCTGGCATACCCTGCCCTCTACCCTGAACTTTGCAGCCCTGGGGCTGGGCTGCCCTTCCCCCAGAGGCTCTTCCCTATATCATCTAGACATCATGGTTACCCACCCCATTTGTACCTCTGGCCTCCTGGCTGCTGTACCTGGACCCTTCTCTCCTCTCTCCCTTTTCCCCCCCATCTCCCCACATGGCCCATGTCTACAATAAACTTTCTCCTCCACTATACCTCCGATCAGTCATGTAGATTTATTTTCAGGCTGGGGTAAGGCTATGCTAAGTGACTCTACACTTAAATGCTTATTTCAATTTTCTAATCTTGACTATTTTAATATTAGAAATTAAAAATTAAACAGATTGAAACAGTTCTGAAAGATGTGGTGGGAAGTTTAGCTCATTTTATCTTGTTTTCCTAATTTAGATTTCTTATAACAGACGCCCTAACATCTCATAACTAGTCATGAAAACTAACTACTTTTTCAATAGTCTATAAAAACGTACTTACCTAGCAGTTGGTGGCTTTTGGGCTGGGGAGAGCACAAGCAAGCTCCTCTAAGGAGAGAAGTGTATTTCTTAGTCTTTGTCCATCTGGGTTTCTTTATCCCATGGGAGGCTGGCTGGTCACCCCACTTCGCTGCTGCGTCCTCCACACCTGCCCTCTTCACACTCCTGTGCGATGTTAATTGAAGCAGTCGTGGAAAAAACGTGAATTATGAGCTCAGCTTTGAGTTTCTGGGTGTGCAACTTTTGACTGTCACTTCCTGGTTGCACACTCTTAAACCGCTGACTTACAATATTGTTTCCTCAACAATAAACAGGGCCATAGGAGACTGCGTTAGGGCGTGTAGCAAATACTGGGCATTGGCTGAAAGGCAGAGCTTATGATGCCTCTTGGTGAATTTTTTCTTTTGTAGCAGATTCTCTTCTCCTGCCCATGTGCCCTTCATGGGTGGGACAGGGGAAGTGTCATTTAAGCCAGTGGCCTCATTCAGCTTTAGGGTTAGATCCAGGTCAGCCCTTGTTAACCTGCACATCTAAATAGCTGCGTCTGCTACAAAATGCACAAAGTCTCCCTCTTTGAGATCTGCAGATGCAGTATAATCTGAATACCAAGCACCGAAGTCGTGGATCAAAGCGTTTCTGTAGCGGATCCTGACTACGACGACTGGCTGTGAGGTGGGTTGGTGTCACGGGAGGGGCAGAGGAGGAAAGCCCAGCCTAGAATGGAGCCCGGCAGCAAATGCGAGCCCCGCAGCAAACGCGTCTGCTTTCACTTTCATTTTCTCCTCCCTCATTCCAGAGCTGCCCCCGGAGCAGAGACCATAAATAAACAGCTTCTGGACAGTGACAGCCTGAGGAGGAAGGGCTCGGGACCACAGGGCTGCTGCCCAAATCCTCCAGGCTTTTTCATCCCCACCCCGACCCGTGAGATCAGGCCAGGAAGGACTCCTCAGACACTGCCAGCTCTCCTCCAGTCCGCTCCACCTTACCTCCCAAACCCAGTCTCCTCAGCATCATTCTTTTGGCAGTCACAGTCCTTTAAGACCATCCCCTAGAGGAAACATTTCCTTGTGGTATGTCACTGAGCCCTCAGGGCGGAGCCAAGAAAGGAGTGAGAAAACGAAAGAACTGAAGGTGTGTGCGCAGGGTCAGCGCAGACACAGCCCGAGCAATCTTCACCCCATGACAGAAAGCAAAGGCTCTACCCTGAGCACGGAGGACAGATTTGGCCCAGGGCGCTCGCCTTTCAGGTTATAGGACCCAGCTTCACCCATCACTCTTGTATCTTCTCTGTTCACAAATCCCCGGTGTTCTAGGATGGAAACAAGAAGATAGATACATAACCCATTATGCAGTCAGCTAGTACAGGGCAGGAAGAAAGTCTGTGGCCAGTGATGATTGGAAGCGCTTGGGATGCAGCGACTTACTACACACACCTGAAGCTCTGCCTGGAGCTTGCTTCTTAATGAAAACAGAGAAATCATAAGCAATCTTACAGGCGGTAGAGGAGGAATATTGTGGGTATGTCCATGATGGATGGATGTGTTTGGGCAGGCTGGTGGAGGTCAGAAGACAATGATGTGTGGTGTGGGTTCTCTTCTTCCACCTGTACATAGATAGGTTCCAGAGCTCAAAATCAGGTTACAAGGCTTGTCTGGCAAGCACCTTTACCTGATGAGCCGTTTATTCAACCCCATAAATAAGTTTTTTTAAATAGCGTAATAGCGCATAATAAGATGTCCAGGTATGATGGAGTTCCTGGCGATCCCTTTTCCTATAGGCTTCATGGTTGTTGTTTTCCTCTAGAGTGTCAATACATCCTGCTGTTTCCAATCTGTCTTTGTGCGTGCTATTTTGCTATCTGAATAGATAATAGTAACAAGGATTGTGATGGTGGTGGTTGAAGAGGTGGTGGTGGTGGTGGTTGAGGTGGTGGTTGAGGTATCATTGTTGTTGTTGGTGGTGGTAGTGGTGGTGGTGGAGGTGGTTGAGATGGTGGTGGTTGAGGTGGTGGTGTTTTAGGTGTTGGTGTTGGTGGTGGTGATGGTGGTGGTGGTGATGGTGGTGGTGGTGATGGTGGTGGTGGTGGTGATGGTGGTTGAGATGGTGGTGGTTGAGGTGGGGGTGGTTTAGGTGTTGTTGGTGTTGTTGTTGTTGTTGGTGGTGGTGGTGGTGGTTGAGGTGTTGTTGGTGTTGGTGGTGGTGGTGGTGGTGGTGGTGGTGGTGGTTGAGGTATTGGTGGTGACAGTGTTGGAGGTGGTGGTGGTAATTATGCTAGTTACAGAAAACATTTGCATAGCTCTTCTGGAACTGTTCTGAGCACTTCACAGATACCAACTCAGAGAAGCAAATCTTCTTGTGATAGCTACTGTTTTTCACCCCATTTTACAAATAAGGAAACTAAGGCATAAAGTGGTTAAGTAACTTGCTGTGTTCGGGGTACTGGGCTACATCACAGAGAACGACACACCTACCTTCATTCCCACTAAAGCCAGACAGGGAACAAAATAACTCAATCACATAGTGTATCTTACGGTGGGAAAACCCACAGGGAAAAATAAGGTAGACGTGGGAGGTTTTAGAGTCCTGGAGACACAGGCCAGTCAGTAAAGTGTTTGCCTTGCAAACTCAAGACCTGAATTCAATGCCTAGACCTCATGCCAGAAGGAGACCCAGAGGTACAATCTCCAGAACCTGGGTAATCAAGAGTGGGCTGCAGTGGAGCATTTATAATCCCACTGCTGGGGAGACATACACAATCAGGGTCCTCAGGACCAGCCAACACACCACACCACACACACACACACACACACACACACACACACACACACACACACACACACATTAAATACCAGGGTGGGGAATCTCCACAGACTGGTTGGGGAAGGCGTGGGGGGTGCTTTGTTCAGAAGGTGACATTTGAGCAGACTGGAGGAAAAGGCTGCACAAATGCCTCAGAAGGAACTGTAGGAACAAAGGCCCTGAGGCAGGAACGATTTCTGGAATAATCGAGAAACAGCTTAGAGATCCATGAAGCTGGAGTGAGAGAGAACAGGAAGTTGAATTCCGAGTCATGTCGGGCCTTAGGGACCCTTGTGAGGACTTTGGATTCCACCCAGAGCAAGATGGCCACCAAAACTGGGAAGTCAGGAGACTCTGTTTGGACTTCCGGTGCCTCTGCCCTCGAGCAATAAACCACAACCGAACTTAATTCGTAACTACAGAAAGCTGATGCTTGTACATGTGTAACAGATACGGGTCTCCGCCAATCCGTGCAGCCGGGCTTCAGTTCCAGGGGCTCTCTGACAGACCAAGCTCTCAGGAGGCATGCTGTCACTACGCCTCATTTCCATCTTCAAGCGTGGACGCCAATCCTATTCCCTCTGTTGCTGGGGTAAGACTCTGACTAAAATCAACACGGAGAGAAAGGGTTTAGTTGGCTTGTGGGTTGAAAGGATTGAAAAAAAAAGTGGTGATCTGTAGACGAATTTCTAAAAGTCTTATTAAATAAGAAACACAGAGCCAAATGCAGAGAAGCCAAATGCAAAGAGATCAGAGAACTAGCGAAGAGCCACTGACTAGCCTTATCTTACCACCACGCCGTAGCTTTCCAAGACAGAGTCCTCCTGTCTAACCGTGTTTTTATTGCCTTCCTGTTCTGCCTTCTCACTGGCTCTAAGCCCAGCCACATCACTTCCTCATCACTGCCTGTCTATACAGACCTCCAGGTCTCTATGATTGGTACTGGGGTTAAAGGCGTGTGTCACCACGCTCGACTGTGTCCTTGACCACACAGAGACTCTGCCTGCCATGTGGTCTGATTAAGGGCGTGTGCCACCACCGCCTGACTTCTGTTTATGGCTCGCTATGACCTCTGATCTCCAGGCAAACTTTATTTATTAACATACAAATAAAATATCACATTTCAGCACCAGTAAAATATCACCACAGTGAAGTGAGCTACCTTTTGGCAGACCCTTCCAAGGAAGGCCCCTAAGAGAACACGCCACACACAGCAGAGTTAGTCCAAGAGGTTTATTGGGGGAGGGGGAGAGGGAAAGAGGGAAAAGCCTTCTCGGAGTGGGGACATGAGAGAGGCAGACACTCAGACGGACGGGCAGAGAGAACAGGCAAGAAACAAGAGCTGTGACTGACACTTTAAGAGGTGTGCGTGCTGCATAGTTGAGCGTGGGAAAGCACCTGGCGGCAGATGATGACGTAAGCTGTGTCTCCGTGGCCGAGGCAGGCTGGTCACAGCAGCCGGAACTAACATGGGTTGTATACTCCATCATCCAGGGAAGGCAGAGCAGAACTCAAGGCAGGAACTGACACCATGGGGGGTGATGTTTCCTGGCTTGTTCCCCATGGCCCGTTCAGCTTGTTTTCTTTGTACAACCCGGAACCACCTGCTTAGCCACAAGCCAGACTGATGGAGGCAATTCCCCAGTTGAGGTTCCCTCTTCTGGGTGACTCCAGTTTGCATCTAACTGACAAAAACATAAGTGATTTGTGGATCAGGTGGCTATGGGATGGAGTTCTAAAACTGCTCTGGCTTTTACCGCCACCTGATCCACAAATCATCTATGACTCGGCCGAGCGTTGCTACGTGGAGTGTCTAAAGGGCTTCCTTTAACAGACTGTTAAAATAATCCAGCTAAGGTCAGCGCAGAACAGAGCAGAGCAGGACACGGCGGGTAGCAAATCATGCCAGTTTGTTCTGAGCAGCCGCTGCTAACTCCTGGAGAAGGCTGACGCTTCTCACCCACCACAGCCTGCGCGGAGGACGCTTGCCTGTCGTGAGCAGTGTAGGAAGAACTCAGCCCAGAGGAAATCCAGGACTTGATGACATGATCCTGACAGGTTTGGGGCTGTGCCGGGTGATCTGGGGTACAAGGAAATAAGGATCCATGCGCAATTGGATGCTCTTTGGAAGCGGGAGAAATTTCACGATGGCTGCCTTCCCCTTTGTTTTCTAGGAACTGGGCGGAACAAAGGGGAGCTGGATTGACAGCAGTCACTCAGGATAGCCAGCAGAGGGCGACGTTTAGCTACTTTTGTGGTGATAGAGACTCTTGCCCAGTCTGGTGTGTTTGGTCCGCGTTACCGGTTCCCTTATTTTTGTCTTGTTACCCCCCGCCCCCCCCCGCCCCCCGCAGTCATGGGATGACCTCTCTAATTGCTGCTGACGTTCTGTGGGGATGCTTCTGTCTAGGAGAAGCGCTATATACAGCCGCTGAGCAGAGAGCTGCCAGGGCCGTTTTGCTCATGTATGTGTTTTCTCTCATGTTTAGAATTGAGCCACAATGGATACATTGGGGAATAAGTTCCACCTGCAAAAGAAGCCATCTAGTCTGAATGGGTCATTTTGGAAAGCTAAGTACCATTTCCCTCATCCTGGCACTTCTTCCCAAAGAAGAGTTTTAAACAACCCAGACCAGACCCCAGAGCAGTTGCAGGTCTGACTGATTTCTAAGAGGTAAAACTGGCACACTGATATTTTTTATGATTCCAAAACCCAATCCTAAAATTCACTTAAGGCCACTTATAATAGAAAGCATGCATATAATAAAACTCTAAACTATTAACACATGAATAAGAAATTTCGTGAATAACGGGGAAGCAACCATCGGATTCCAGCAGAAAACTCAACCCTGGATCAAGGCCGGGGCAGAGAGTGAAAGTGACCCTTGTGAGGAAAACATAATGATTTAAGCTGTCACATCAAACATGAGCATGAGAGGCGTGTCACTTGGTACCAGCTGCCCTCCTGGGGGAGGATAAATGTTGGCACAGTAAAGCATGGAGGTGAGTAGCAGGAACCATGACTTCCCCCGACCATCTTGAACCAAGAGACTCCAGGAGGAGATGGCCCAAGAGACAGACTAGGACCACCTTCTTGCAGGAGAAGAGATCAGTCTGTTCACAGACCCCAGGCCCCGGGTGAGGTTTAAACTTTGAAGAAGGAATAATTTACTAAGAATAGAGAGCAAGTCCAGGAGTGAGTGGGAAGCCTGGACTGGAGATACAGAGCGGAAACGCAAGGCCAGGGTAAATGTGAGGACATACCCCCTCTCCCCGTGACCCACATCCCACACTCAAGATGTTAGAACTGTGGCTGTGGTTGCCTCAAGCCTTCCTTTGACTAAAAAGAATATCGACTGCAGGGTTTGCCTTTGAGCTCACTTCCAGAGATGCACTTAGCTCACCCAAAGCCTTCTGGGATCTCGAGCAGAAGACAATGGGTAAAGAGGAATTGACTGAATACTGCCGTTCTCCTATCAGTTAATGTGCAGATGGTCTGAACTGGCTCGCTAGGCAGCAAC